TTAAATACGTCATTCGTGATGGCATTCCAATAACTACGGCACGATGGAGAAGCATCCGACGAATACTTCATCGTAGGAAAAAAAAAAAGTTGATCGAACTTGGGACGGGAAAAATGAAAGAAGTAAAATCAATATGAAATCGACTAATGCCTTTATGCACAAGACGTAGCTTTTACCTTTCGTCAAATTGTTTAGAAGAAAAATTGAAAAAAGATAAAGACACTGCATATTGGGTGAATAAGAATGGGATCGTTCAATTGGAAAGTAGGTACTAGAATTAACCAATATTCCAAGTAGGCAATAGAAGATAAATATTTTTTTCATCAACTGGACTTTTCTTACGCCAAATGGATACTTTTCACTTGCCTTTACTTCGACACCATGCCAAGCAATTTATTTAGAGTGCCGTTTGCAGAATACTTCTATAGCCTTCGTATTGGCTAAGAGGGATATTGTCCCAGCATCACGGTAACCCCTTTAATATCGGCCACCATTATGTCTCCTCGTATATATTTCCAGCTTATTGACGTTATATTAGAATCTGAAGATGTTATGAAAGCCGTAAATACGACCCTGCACGGGAATAATAAAAAAAAACATGATTCAACGTACAGAGTTAGAAAAAGAAAAACTGAAATAACTCGTAGAAGTAATAGCAGATATTTAAGAAGAAAGCTCAGTATCTTTCATGCATAAATATTCTATATAGCAAAGACTAAAGAAAATCCACAGCCTAGTATTTGCCCAGTTACAAGATTCGGACATACTGAAAGCTTTAAAAGAATGATTTCTAATACACTTGAAATCCTTGAATAATCTCTAAGCCCAATTTTGTACAATAAAATTAATATTGCGAAACTGTCAATGAAGTAATGTGTCAATCTATTTAAACAGGAATTACTGTCATTATTAACTTTATCCAAAGTGCTTTTATTTTGAAACTGAAGAATCTTGGCTATTGGTTAACGCAACCTGAAAACTAGCTATATATCCGATGAAATCGAATATCACAGCGCACCCTGCACCCTCGTATTCATATACACAGAATCGACTAATTATAACAGTAGTAAAGGTTCATTAGCACAGATGGAAAATTATTGAAAAATACAGAAACTACCTTTTTCTTCTTTCCGAATGGAACTATAAATTATTATTACCGATTGTAATTCGTGTACGACATCCCGATATACGTTAGAGCAGCAAGAAGGGATACAATAAAGGGTTCACGTAACAACAAACAGTCATCTGCAGTCCCATTCCCCTTTGACTCACTTACGCAGGAAGAGGCCTCGAATTGCAAACTGTCAATGGGCACTAATCTGTAACTGGAAACTGTCTGAAATTACGTGACAGTCGAACCCAACAGTCGACCAAAGTTTGACGTAAACTCAGGAGGAAAAATTCTTCATGTGCTATTGGACAGTTAGAAGCAGAAACATGGAACAGTCGAATCCTTCGAATTGCTTCGATAACAGAATCCCGTGAACGCGTGACCCAATTACAAATGAGCCAACTGAACGTTTCAACGGGAAACTTCGTAGGATAGTTTTCTCGCGTGTTAATATACAGAGATTCTCAAAAGATACTTATCCAAGATACCACCAAAGGACATTGAAAAAATAAAAAGAGGAACGTCCTGGACACAAATAAGCTCACCGGTAATGGGACTCTAGTTAAATTCACTCTCAGCGTGTTCACAGCATGGGAGCTTTTGAATAAAAGCTGACGCAACTCGTGAGAGAGGTTCGACCGGCTCGCTCCCAGAATCCTCGTGGAGTCCCACGTCGTTTACCTTATCGAGGTAGTGAGGTCGACATTGTCGAGGACCCTGTGTGTTGGCGCAATCGGTGAATATCGAATTCCAAGTTACAATGGTGGATCGATCGAAGGATTAGCTCCGTGCGTTATCGGTAGCTCGTGTGGCCCAGTGGCGTAACCAATTTTCATGAGAACGACGAATTCCAGTCTTATCCCAATTTCATCAGCAACGTTCAACTTTAATGTTTATGGTGATGCTGAAATTTTTTATAGCAATACATATACATACATCCCTTTTTTTTCCTTGCCAAAGCATAACGTTCTCTGGAAGCTTCGTGAATACGTGAGAAGGATGGATGACATTGGCGTAGCTTCCAAAAGCGTTAAAATCCACAGTGATGCAGGTTGCCACTAGGAAATCGAGAGCCACCGTATACTAGCCCGAATCCTTGATAAATTTGGCTTCCTACCGGGACAGGATGTAGCTCGTAACTCAGTGTAGGCTCAGGTGTTTCCGTGCTCTGGCATACAGGTTAGCTTGTCGTGGAGGGAAAAAAAAAGAAGCCGGATCCTGGCAAGAATGAAATGTGTAATCTCAACGCTGAAATTCATATCGTTCCTCGGTTGATATCGTATATATTTATTTCCGAAATACCGTGTAGTCGATGATGGAGTAGCTACCGAAAATCTGCCAACCATGAATAAGAGAGAAAACGTATAAAAATTAGTGTAACAGATTAATTTGATTTTCTCACGGATTTTTTCACCTGCCAGAAATAAATGACAACTGACAGGAATTTATACTGATCGAAACGACAGGAGCTGGCAGCACGTTCGTTGATACTAATTGCAACAGGACGAGAGCCGTCAGACAAAACCAAGACTTGACCAAGGGTGACGCTGTTGGTTAATTGAGTAATGTCAGCGAATGCCTGTATTAAATCGTGATCAATGTTATGGCTTTTCTGTGTAGGTTTATTAAAGTTAATATCCGCTCGGGGCAAACATTGATAATCCGTCAAGACACGCGAGCTTGGAAGATAAAGGCGTCGAGAAAGGTTAATTTAAACCGTTAAGTGTATTAGGCAAAACACGAAGAGTTTCGACAGGAACAAAATCATGGGCAATATATAAAAGACAAAGATCAGGACACAGTGAAGAATTATAATTTCGAAGTTGCACGACGTGTATCTCAATCGGATAGCCAGCTTGACGAAATATGCGCAATTTACAAAAGTGTGAAAAGCAGGGTTTTCTTTTTGGTTCGAAACCTTAACGTTGGCGAAATTAAAAGAAGAACGAGATTTCGTATTAACAGCCGGACCCGAAGCTAAACGAGCAGACAGTGTTCGCTCGGGGGATGTGGAATTAAAGGGATTTTCACAAGAAAGCAGAGGACAGTGAAGGCCGACAAATAGGAGGTGGTATACGAAAGGATCTTCAGGGCTGTACATGTGAAATTAGTGCAGACATTAATAAAGCCGAAAGCCCTTTTAAACCCCGTTACTTTTTTCGGTCACTCCAACTTTCAGACCAGCTACGCGATTCTGGCGTGTTTCAACCGTCTCGGCAGATTGCGTTATTTTTCTTGAGCCAAAAGGGAGAAAAGGGATATCATCATCCGGGAAAAATAGACGAGAAACTTTTCTCAGCCCTTCAGTTCTCAGTTCTAAGCATTATCCCTATCACGGTGTGAAAGCTCTTAATCTCAGAATTTGCTCGAGATATATACAGAAACACGTGTGCTTCCTTTTCCCGCTGAATGCTGTGTCAGAATTATATAGAGACGTACGTAAAAGAAAAGCTTAAGGCGATATTGCAAGGATGATTTACGTTTTCCTACAGCTTCTCCAGTTTTCCCATCTCTTCCGTAATGCTGGATTAACGTTACTAAATAAATCGAAAATTTGCCGTTTCCAAAATTCCAGTCATTTTGTAAAATTATTTTGTCACCCTCAAAATATTGCCTGGAATTCATTTTTGTGGTCGTTCTTGCGTTTATCCCCAACTGTAATTTACCTCTGGAGTATAATCCAAATATGATCAAAGCCCCATTGGAAATCGCGAATCCTTTTGAGGACATTTGAAATCTGTCTTTCGCGATACGACGTGTCATTAATTTTTACTTAGAAACCTTACTATGCTTAAAGCTTGAAAAAGCTTTGACAAGAAAAGGTATTCGTTACGTGAATTAAAAATTGAATATTTAACAATGATCGGATACCATGACAATGGAATGAAGTAAATTTTCGGGAAAGACCATTAAATCCCAAATTGCAGTGGCTTTGATTTTTAGTGGAATATAAAATTTCCGAAACCTCTATAAATATTCTACTCGGGAAATCTTAAAGCTGCTTTAATAAGGATGGCTGATTTAACGTAATTCCACAAAATGGAACCAGTCGCTAAATCGCAATAGACATTCGATAATCGTTTCATCATGAATTCGCGCGGGATCATTGATATTCTCCTGATACGCATAATTGATGGCCACCATGTCACTCGAAGTTCCTAGTCGTTTATGTCAATACGATAACACCGAATGGTTACGTCACGAATAGTATCAATCCATTTCTAATGACTGAACTCGGTCCAAGCTCAAAATAGTACAGTTCATTATTCATAGGAATTATCATTATCGATAATTAGTCAAGCAAAGTTTCATACATAAGTATTGATACGCGGACTTAAAAAATATATTCCGATCGTGAAATAAGCAGAATAAGAAATATCTGTATTCGACAGACGTCACCTCTATACCAAACTACCAGTTAGCGTAATTCTATTAGCTTTCAAATATCCTCTAAATACAGTTCAATTGTGAGGAACAAAGAAATACTGTAATACTTCTTTAAGAAATCTACCAGAAGTATCCAGTGAGAATTCATCCGAACGAGGAACTAATTTCTTTGAAACGGGATTCACAGTCCCATTTACAAATGATAGGACCAACTACGTAGACAGGAAAAGGGCAAAAGAAAAGTGAAGCGATTCCCTAATCAATCAATCAAGTGTTCAATGAGTCACACGAGTACGTCCTTTGCCCGTTCCATTACATAACTTTCATATACAAATAAAAAGTCAATTTTGATAATATAGCTACACAAAAAATTCACTTACTCACATAAGACAGAGCTACTGTCCATTAACCCTTGGAACTCCACATAAAATATATCCATACGGCATATTAATTATGAAAAAAAAAAAAAAAAACTTTAATGGAAAAACACTTTTTGTTACAGGAAACACAAAATTGGATGTTTGTATCATAAAGGTAAGTGCTTTTACAGTAAACTGAAGTTCTAAAACATTTTAGACACTTATCCCAGGTTGATACACACATGGCCGATCACCACCAATCGAGCTTGGTTCGATGGTAATGACCGTTTCGGGAGCAGAATTTGAGGCACCCTTGAAGTCATCGGGGTGCCATAGTGTAGCCCTGAAAAGAAAAGCTGGTCTACCAGTCAAGGTACCCAGGGGTGCCACAACGTAAGGTACCGTTTTAGTGTGAAGAAGATGGCAAAAATTTGAGCATCCATATCGCAAGATAAGACACCAAAGCACTTCTTACTAATTTCGCAAGCTTCTTCCGGGGCGTAGGAATCTTTTTCCGATAATTATTCATGCGAAGCTGAACGGAGCTCGTTACATCCGTTACTCTTGGAGACATAATTATACCTAGCGGAACGCACAGGGTCCGATAATTAAATGATGTTTTCGATAAATTAATTAAAGTCCTATGACTATGCAGATACCTCATTAAAACGGCAATAAGAGTAAATCGAGCTTTCGCGTGTTCAATAAGACACCAGACAGCCCAAAGAGATCTAATCAGTAGATTGGATTAGGTCGCATGACTCACTGGGAATAGAACTTTCTAAGCGGGAAACATGCGTGAGAATCCTGCGAATTTATCCTGTCGTTAAAGTGAATGAGAATGCGCTTCTGTATCTCTGCTTCCCAGGGGTGTCGTACGGAACAAGACACTCTTGGGTACGACAAAACGTATTTCACATCTGCGACCTTTGCTCTCTCCGGCAGCAGTACGCCAATGGCTCTATCAGCGGAGGAAAGACCCGAGGAAAAAAAAAGAAGAATCCACGTCAGCCATAAATATCCTGGATCAAATTCGCCGATTAATAACGTCCGGTCCCTGTGCTTAGAATCGAGACTTTCAATGTATGCAAATGAACCGCTACGAATTCCATAGGGTTCGGAGGGAATCATGGGGCGTCACACCGTGACGAGTTATGGCCTGGTATTCACTCGAATATGTAACGTACTGTGGAATACGATTTAAAGTGATCGTAGTCGAACGGTGAAAATTCGCAGTTAGGAAATCGATAGCTTTTCTGGGTATCGGCTCGGTGACGTCGCAGGGTAGCAAAGTAAGCTGAAAGAACGACTGTCATTAATTAGCGTTACCTAAACAGTTAAGTTCAGACCCGTCATAAGGATAATGAAATTAACGGTAGGTTCGAATTTCATGGAAACTGGTAGATACCTTAGATGGCTACTCGGAGGGAATTTCAGTTGGTTATATAAACTGGCGCACGAGCACAGTTCGCATTGACTGTTGGAATTTCGCGGAAATTCTTTGATTCCTTTTTATTTCTTATGGAGAAATTTCTCTGGTACCCTAGTCTCTCGGGATAAGAATCAGCAACGGTTTGGCTACTGGCTGGTAGAGAAACGCGGTATTTGTCCAGCAACGGCGACGGGTTTTTCTCGTATCTGGTTGGAATTTCATGTAAAAACCGCAGAAACAACAACGGGCCGACCATAGATTGTCATTATCTTGCAGAATAGAAAAAAAAAAAAAAAAAAAGTAAAATACAATATCTCCCTGGGCTAGTAACAAGTGTACCGCTACTATACGACTGCTCCCAGTGCCGTACATTGCTGGCAGTGGTGGTAGTCGCTGATCTCGATGGTGGTAACACTGGCCCGGATATGTAATACAGGTTTGACCTACACACGGAAATAAATACCAACCTGAACCCAGAATATCATACGTATACGAAGCAAGTAACTAGACCGCCAGGAACGTGCACTCGATGCACGGCACCCTAGGCTTAGTTTGTCACATAAATGTATTTACGATACCTTGGTATACATTTATACGGGATCAGAGACTAACGCGAGGTCCAGTCTGGATTTGCAAGGAATGAGAATTACGCCACAGACTGTACACTCCATGGGCATGATACAGGCCGAACAAAGAAAATTTGTAAAAACGAAAAATTTATACGATGACTTCGTCGCGTGTCAATAATAAATTTTTATTTTCGTATCCCACGTCAACGTACCCTTCTCAACTATGAAATTAGACCGGCGCAGCATCAGCAATAAATAAAATTCATTTTTCGCACACTCGCTCCTGTCGCTCCCCGACGTCACAGGCCTGACGGCTTTGACGCGTTACCTCACGGATTAATGAGTCATTGAAAAATTACGCAAGCTCAACATCAGAGCACGGCCATTACCTCGTGGAAGCTTGGTGCAGATTAATGTATCAAGCCCGAGTATCAGCCAGTGCTTTTTTATGCACCTACGCGTATATAGGTGTAGCCGCACATGAGGTATTTACGATATACATTGTTGCCACGTATGCGCATCCGTAATTTGACGCCATGTACTCCCGTCTTTCCATTTACTCAGGGTACCGACGCAGAAGGTCGAAAAAAGAGACGAAGAAAAAGAAAATACAAGAACCAAAGGAGATAAATCGTGTTTTATCAGGATAGAGCTCAGAGCTTTTAATAAGCTCATGCTCCGGTATGCAGAATAGATATAGGATCGTTAAAGGATACGGGGTGGTACCATAGAGCAGTACCCTTAATCCAACAATACTTTCTGATCACATGATTCAAAATGATTTTGGGTAATTATCTGGGAAAATAAAATATTACGAAAATTTCATCATTCGAAGGTTGGAACGAATTCTGATAATCTAGCACGGGGGCCTCTTTGTCTAATGGGACGCTACTGATCTCAACTCACAGCAAGGATTCAGGAATGAGAGAATTTGAACCCTTGCCAACGAGATAGCCGACTCCCTGAATCATTCTGAAATACGTAGCCACCGTTGATAAAATACCTACGCGCTATGCTTTATTTCGATTCCAGGTCTTTGCTTGTATCTGGAGTAAGTGCAGGCGTTTCCGTGCGTTAAGTTAACCTACGTGGCCGGAATAAACTGGCAGGGTAGAGTCAATGGGCCAACCATTCCGTAAAGAGCTCAGAGGATGCAAGTACACGGTAAAGTAAAAATTGGTTCCTTGGCACAGATAATCATTCACGCCCAATATGAAGTAGGTGAGTCCTAATTGTTTTTAAAATTAAATGCCCCTCACGCTATTTTCATTTCCGCCTTATGTATTAAAAAAGTATTAATTTCTATAGAAGTGTACTTTTTTCAACTGAAAAGCACTGTCAAGCTCTTACGTCTACTGAATTGCTGCCTTGAGAAAAAGTCAATGATCCAGAGGAGACGACATGGAGGCAAAATAAATAGACCAAGATGAGCCAAGTAATCCTGAGGACGAGGCTCATTTGTATTTCATTTGTGTTTGCATCATTAATAACCAAAGCGCGTGCTCGCTATTCTTTGACAAATGCCTCGAATCACTCCCGTCACTCTGGTTACTCCTTGCCAGACCTTGTCCTTCATCATTTTCTACACCCTTGTCGTCCCTCACCTTGTGGAATCCTAGCAACCCTCTACCCGGCATCTGAAAAAGAAGGTGAAAAGTGGGTCGAGTGACGGTTACATTTTAATAAAAGAATATTATTCCCTATAGCGATTGGCCTTTTATCCTTTTTTCTTTTTTTCTTTTTTTTTTTGATAAGTAAATTATCGCCTAGCTCCGCAAGACCTTTTAATACTGCTACCGGGATGTACGAGTAAATATAGATTAGATAGATTAGATTAAATAGAAATACGTTCATTGAGCTTTTATCGTTACATCATTGAACGCGCATTCGTTAGACGCTTAATAAAATATTTGATACGTATCTATGAAAACGCGCCTACGTATCCCAAAGCCCAAAAGTACAATGTGCATGTAACGAATTTCGTTTAATTCTCTAACGCGATAAGGTTGCCAATGAAAAATGGCCGCGCGAGAATTCTCGTATCCATTTTCTCCAACCCGTGGAATTCCCAAAGGACCTAACGAGGCTGCACGATGGGCTAGTGGAGAACCGGAGCCCGTTAAAAATAAGGGCGTGAAATTGGCCGGGAGAAGGAACCGTAGGTTCCTGCAGTGTAACTACCCACAGCATTTTCTGGTTAACAAGCCAATGTAAAATTGTACACTTGTGAGGTCGTTTTGGTAAGAGGGTTACCTCCGCTGATTTTAATTAAACGACACCCAGTAGACGTGTCCAACGTGGGGCACAAAGATGTTCTTTAACTCATTATAAAATTCACGAAGTCACTTATTTTTTACTTCTTCATCCATTATATTTACTTCTCGACCTGAGTGCGATTCGACTTCATAATTTTCACTTCGTTACGTCAGACTCGAAAAGTTGCTATGACTTTCCGTAGTTGTCTGTGATTCAGTTGAAAATTCGAAACGAAGATATTTTGTTTTATCCAATGGAAACAAATTGTGTTAATTTTTTTTTTTTTCACAAACTTCAAAGTTCACGGTAGTTTACGCTTTCTGGTTTCTCATTGCTTTCTCGACTTCGTTCGTTAAATTATTAGTCAGTGTATATTTTCTTTTACTTCACCTTCTTGCTTCGTCCCTTTTTTTTTAAGCATGACAGTTCTAGGTCAATCCCCAGCAAATGAGTTACCTTAACGAGTATTGAAAGATACGTCGTCCACGTTTGTGACAGGCAAATAAGAAGATATGAAACGTCAAGAAAAAGCAATATACATCGATTTGACAAACAACATTAATAATTCGAGTTTCCATGTGTTCGTTTTACGGGAACAGAAAAAAAATTGAGTGAAATTCCACAAAGTTTGACTTTTCAAAAAGACTTAAACGTACAATGAAATTATTGGGATTTATTGAGATTTATTAGCGAATCAATACAACGTGAACACAGCTATCGAGCATTACAAGCATCTACACTAGAACTGTCATCCTCGTGGACGATTCTTAAAGAAATTCCGTGACATCTAAAAATATGAAAAAAAAAAGCTTCATTCCAGTCCTGCCGACTTGTCCTGGACAGTGAAGAACGAGCCTACCGGTTATGCAATTACCCGTCGAGCCTACAGTTGGATTTCCCTGAGATTTTTTCTTCTCC